GGGATTCCAAAGTGGTGGTGGGTTGGTTAAAAAATTCTGAAGAGGCTATGTGGCGATACAAGAATGAAATGAAGAAATTTAGTTGGTTGACAAGGAATATGTTGGTCACTGTACAGTGGGTGGGGAGATTAGCAAATACCTTGTCAGATGTGTTAGCTAAGCAAGGGGTAGATAGGGAAGAATTATTTTGGGCTTAGTTGTGATTCTTGTTTTTCTTTCCTAGTTTACTTGTAAGTTTCAAGGAGGGGTTGCAGCTCGTGCCTCTCGTTGGGATGTTGTATGAACTCACTCTAATTTGCTTATGAATCAATAAACTTATTATTATTCATCAAAAAAACCATAGCTAACAATGGCTATAAGAGATCAAATGGTGTATTATGTTATATCTTGAACTTTGATCTAGAGGACAAATCTGAAGAGGAGAAGGAAGATGAAGAGGTAATCCAGTAACTATTGATAAAGTAAAAAAGAAAGAAGAGAGTGGATTTGGACAAGATAGTGGAAACCGGAGCCCAAGTAAGCAAGATTTTAGGGTTGTTATTTATAGGAGTGGAAGAATTTGTGATGAAAATGTTATGGGAATTGGAAAAGAGATATCCATTGAATGAAGAAAGATCTAAAGGGAAGACCTGAATGGTGAAAATTGTTAGGGTCATTGTGGGATTTAACTCTTAGGGGGGGTTACTGGGTTTTGAAGTGCTTCTGGGTATTGGTAGTGAGTTTTGTTTTTGTTTTTTGTTAACTTTGGGGAAGGAAGTTCTGTATTTAAATGGGGTTTAAGGGTCTTGGTGATGTTCTGTCTTGGTTTCTGAATTTTTTGGGGTGATATCTTGTATTCTTGTCACCTTATTGTACTTTTTTCTTCTTTATTAATAAATTTCTCTTTTTTATTTATTACCAAAAAAGATCTATTGGTTGCAAGTATATAATATGCGAAGCTTTTTTTTAGTGATTATTATTTGGGCATACTTATAGAGATATATTTGATGTGCCATATTCTTATGTGTGAACTTTAATTTGTTGTCTATTGACCAAGAAAAAAGAACTTCAAATTTTTTTTTTGATAGGAAACGACAACTTTCATTAGAGAATTGAAAAGATACAGGCTTACCACCCACAAAATGGATGGAAAAAGGAAATCAAAAACTTACAAATAGGCCCAAAACAAAGCCTCCCTAGTAACTCCTTGCTTAGCTAAAGTGTCAGCCATTCCATTTGCTGACCTTCTTACCCATTTAAAATGCACCCCAATCTCCCTTGCTAAGCTAATAATCTCTCTTAGAGGCTGGTCAAACCTTGAAGTAAGGCCATTACTTTTGCCCTTAATGAATCTCCCACCCCAATTGAGCCCGAGTAAAGGGCCAAGACTTTTCCTTCCTCGTTTCTGTACACACCCCCAACTCTCGACTGACCCGGATTACCCAAGGAGCTCTCATCAAAGTTTAGCTTCACCCTGAACTGAGGCAGTGATACCCAACATTCTTGTACCACAGGGGAGGAAGGCGAGGATACAGCTATAGCACTCCAATTTCTAATTAAATCTGCTGATGAGAAGTCCTTGAAGAGATGATGTACTTTCAGCCAGTGCATAACCTTGATGGTGACAACCTCCACAAGTGCTTCCTTGGATTTTTCTTGCCCTAGGAAGATCCTATTGTTTTCTCTCTTCCCAAATTGACCATAGGATGGCTGCTCTTGTTATTCTCCACATTACCCTGCCCCTTTTCCTTGGTTGTAGGAAGAAGCTAGAGTCAAAAAGGTTCAGCATACCCGAGGGGGGGTTCCATCTGTAACCAAACAAAGTAGAGAACCTATCCAACAAATAATAAGCAAAAGGACAAGAAATCAAAAGATGAGTCGCTGTCTCACCATTTCTTAAGCAAAGGTAACAGACATGTGGGGAAAGGCTTCAGTCTGGCCTTTTTCTTTGAAGTACACCAATAGTATTGATCTTTTGAAGAGCCACTTTCCAACAAAAAGCCCTAACTTTTGGTGGCACAGGAGAATACCAGAGTTCTTTAGCAGGAAAAGAGAAAGACACAAAAGGAAAAAAGAACTTTAATTTGCTGTCTTGAGTGAAGTCTATGTTCTGTGACACGAAATGTACGTTTTAATAGCATTACATTAAATCATAAAATCATCCACAAACTCCATGTTTCTATCATTCCTGGATTGCTTTATTACTTAGATCTGCAAAAAACATTTTTATTTTGTTATGGATCTTCAGAATTGTATATTTGAACTTACTGGGTTGACTCATTTTTAGGCAGCTGAAGATTACTTGGTCCATTTGTTTGAAGATGCAATGCTTTGTGCAATTCATGCAAAACGCGTTACTCTGAGTAAGTTAAATGTTCTCAAAAACTGGGGTGGTTCTCTTTTTAGATGATCAGTAACTTGGGAAAATATGAAGGTTATATTGTAAATTATATATAATATATACACTAAATAAACTGAACCAAAAAGTGTGTCACAGTGTCTCTGCATACCAAAAAAAGGGTTTATTTAGTTTGGTTATTGTACATGTTAATTACCTAAATAAACGTCATTGCATATTATTATCTAAGGTTGTTATGTGGCCTTGAAGGTTATACTGTAAACTATATATAATATATATCCTAAATAAACTGAACCAAAAAGTGTGTCATAGTGTGTCTCTGCATACAAAAAACAAAGATTTATTTAGTTAGGATACTGTACATTTTATTGTTGTATTACCTAAATTACCATTATTGCATATTATTATCTAAGGTTGTTATGTGGCCATCAAGTTGTTAGTAAGTATGCATGCATGTCTGTTGCTCATTTAGAACCAAACCAATTTTGTGCAGGGATCATCATTAGTAATAATGATATTTATTTGAACCCTTTTCACTGTGCTTGTCATGCATGTGTTACAAATGAGAAAAATGTACTTCTTGTATTGTCATCAGCACTGTAATTGTATGCAGTCCGAAACTTGACATGTATTTCTTAGGGTCCGTTTGGTTCACAGACAGGATTGGAATTGGAATCCCTGGGAATCGGAATTAGAATTATCTATTCCTGATGCCTGTTTGGGTCAGTTGGGAATTAGAGTCTGATTCCAATTATTGCTGTTTGGTTCTTTTCAAGTTGGAATTGGAATCAACTGAAAATTTTCAATTTTGTATTAGTCTATTTATTATTTTCTTATAACTTTATTAATATTTTATGAATATATAATTATTCTTTTATTAGTACTTTGTTATTATTATTTTATTAATACTTAATAATTAGTATCTTAGTATTTATTATTATTTATGAATAATTCATTAATATATTATTATTTTCTTAGTACTTTATTAATATTCTATTATTTTAACATTAGTTTATTATCATTTAATAATTATTACATTAGTATTTTATTATTAGTTTATTAATATCTTTGCTTTTTATTATTAATTTATTAATATATTATTATAGTACTAATATTTTTGTTAATAGTTTGTTATTATTACTATTTTACTAATATTTTATTGTTTTATTTATATTAGGGTTTGGAGGGTTTTTTTGTCATGAGTTCTTTAGTCTCTGTTTGATTTTCTAGAAAGAGGTGGGAAAGATGGAATATTCCTAAAATATTCCACTTTCCCATGTTTGTTTTGTGAGACACACGAAAGTGGGATGGGAAAATAGGGGGACGTACTTTCTCAAAAACTGGGATTTGGGGTCGCACAAAAACAGTGCTACCCCGGTGAGAAAATAAAGGGAAAGAGTATCGGGCTTGCTTGCCAAAAGAGTTTGTTGTCTGTCTTCTCCACCTCCTATGCCCAATAGCAACATCCAAGCTTCCGGTGACATTTTCAGATAGATGGTTGTCTCCACGTCCTATGCTGCAATCACAGTGGGCCTGGCTGCCATGGTTTCCAACAACCAATGCCAACTCTCTCTCTCTCTTCAGCGTTTGGTTTCCTTCTACCATTTTACTTCGATCAAGATATAACCTATTTTTTCTTGAAAAAACAGAGCTCTTTTCTTCTCTTCAACTCTCCATCTCTTACTCTTATGTTATCTCCCCTGTCTACTACATGGATATTACTGTTCTCCTAATACAATGATTTCCACCAAATGTTTCTAAACACCACTATCGTTCCTTCGATTAAAATTGTGATTTTCATAAATTATTTCCTAACGCACTCAACTCATTCTGATAATTAATTATTTTCAGAATTTATCCAACTATAGAACAAATAGATGCCCTTCAACTGTAACAGATACAATGTTCAAAGCCCAGAAACCAACAAACGAATCCCAACTTTGGCAAGCCAGTAGTGTTGAAGCCCAGCTTTAATTCTCCTCTAAACCTGAAAAATTGCAATCACCCACCATATGTTCGACCAAATTCCCTGTCAAATACCTTCGCTTGGAACAGTCTCATCCAAGCCCGTGTCACCAGTCATGATCCCTATCATCTAATTTGGAGCCTATGGGCACTTGAAATCACTACAGGAAGAAAAAGAATTTATGAATCATGATACTATAGGACAAAGTGGGTTAAAGTGCCTTCTCACAATTGTCATTTCATGGATAGCAATGGTCTGTTGTTATGTGAAAAATTATGGATTCAATGAGTTTGAAATTTTTTAGAGGGACAATTGATTTTTTGGAGCTAAATAGTTTTATTTTCAACTCTGATTTATGTCATGTTTTCTCTCAATAATTTTCTCATAAACCAAATGATGGAAAATGAAAACTTCACACTTTCTCATCCCATCCCACCCAAATCATCCCACAAACCAAACAGAGCCTTACTTCTTGAAAGACTCTGGAATGGGAATCCCATTCCCTAGAAGGGGCTAGGGGGGAGCCTGGAATGGCCATTCCCCCATATGGGGGAACCCCATTCTGCCAAGAATGGGAATCAGAGCCTCATTCCAACTAAACAAACGGCTGGAATCAGGATGAATCTGATTCCAGGCACCTATTCCAGCAAACCAAAAGGACCCTTAATTCTTACCTTGGAAGGATGTGATTTGTGATTTACTGCTTTCTGTTAACATTTTCTGTGTGTTTTGGGGGTGGAGCAGGTCAGACTAGGGATGCAACTTGGGTCTGATTGGGTTGGACTGTTGGGAATTTGTTAAATTTCCAATGGGCCTGAACCCTAACCTGAAACCAATGCAGTTAAAATTCTTCAAGTCAGGCAACCAACTTGCCGCCCTAGATCAGACAAGATGAAACAGGGCTAATGTATCTAAGAACCTGGATGGCAAGAGTCTTTTCTCCCCTTCAGCCTCTCAAACCCAAAGATATAATGTATCTAGAACCTGGATGGCTAGAGTCTCAAGTTTGTTGGGATGCCTTCCCCTTAGCAAACCACTGGGTGATACTTGACGCTCGTCAAATACCAAATGGTTTGTATCCCCTGATAAACACCAATTACAGTTCAGCCTAATAGTTCCTAGGTCAGAAGGGTGCCAATGTGACATGGATGATCAATTTCCAATGCTAATAGGCCTGTGTGGACCACAAGAAACCAAAACTTCAAAAAGCCTGTCCATGAGAATGTCTCTGGGCAGGGCAGCAATACTGTATGAAGGCCACCCTAACGATGCTTAATAACTTTTCTTTTTTCCTTTTGTTTTTGGTGATAGATTAAGTTTGTCACGAACCATCCTAGAAATCTCTGTCCAAAACTCCTCAAAAGCATCGCTTCTTTTCTGGAAAAGGACATTTCTGTGGAGTATTTTTCCTCTTCCCTAAAGGTATGAAGGTCCAACTCGTCATGTGCTCTGACAGATTGCTGTAAAGAATCCTATGCACTCTGAAGAATCTGAAGAAAGAGTCATAATCCTATGACATCGCGCGAAAATTGTGAGTGAAAAAATGATTCACTGTCTTTCCACTAGACATGACAAGCATGTAGAGAAAGCTTCCAAGTTTTATCTTTCATTTGAAGCTTACACCAGCTATTTTTGTAGGCAACCTCCTAGGCAAAATCTCTTGATTCATGAGGTGCTGAGAATTTTTTAAATAACCTTAGGAGGGAAATAATCATAACCCTTTATGTTACTGCACACCCTACATTGCAGTTTTGATGTAAAAAGAACTGTGTCCTAGATCCAATTCCTATTAATGTGGTCTAATTAAGACAGGAAAATGAGGTTCAAGGATCCAATTGCCCAAGGGTGAAGTTCACCTCTCTTATTGTTCTAATTACTGTTTCTTCCTGCCACAAATCTCTGATTTTCTTATGCATTTCTCTTTCTTAAATCTTCTCTAGGTCTTTTCTTATTTAATAGATGATTGATAATGATTTATTCCACTAGCTTATTTAATAGCTGATGGATCCTTGTTCTGGTTTTGTCTTTTTAGTATGCAGTTTTGGCTTCAGTTGGGGGCTGGCTTGTTCGTTGCTTTTAGTCTGGTTTGGTTTTACTCATTTGAGTTGTGGTTCAGAAGTTTGTTTTGGTTGGGTTGTTGTGGTTGAATGGGGGTGTTTTTTTTATAGAACCGGAGGGTGCTACAGGGTAGCATGTCCCCCAAAATCAGAAAAGACAATGAGAGAAAGGGGCAAAGGAAGACAAGAAATGTCCACAACCGTGCCGTTGAATGCTTCCTTAGCAAGCAAGTCTGCCACCTGTAGGACTACCCTTCTTTGGTCAGAGTTTTGGTTCATCATCATCATCATCCATGCCTTATCCCAACTATATGGGGTTGGCTACATAAATCCTGTTTTGCCAATCTATTCTGTTTAAAGCCATATCCACTGTTAAATTATTAGTCCTTAAATCATTTCTTACTACTTCTACCCATGTCCTTTTTGGTCTACCTCGAGCTCTTGTAGCCCCTTTAGTGTGTAACCACTTCTAACTGGCACAAACCAGAACCTTATTGCCTGTTGGCTTGAATTCCTACAAACTATAGGTTCCATGAGTGCCTTACAATCCTTGACATGATAATCTAAGCTAGTATTTGCATCTTTTTATCTTGTAGGCACTCTATTTATATTGGGCATTGTTCTTTCTTTTTACCTTTTCTAACATTTTTTTTATTTTTTTCCTGCTGCTGCTCTAGTGCAAAAAGATTGGGCGCTTGCTCGACGGCTTGGAGGCAAAGGGCAGCTTCGATGAGAGGGGGTGCAGCACTTGCTGACACAGCGACTGTGGAAATCAATTCTTTAAGAACTGGCTGTAATTATTGTTTTATGGTTAAAGGATTTTATGTTAGCATGTACTATACAAAATCAGCAGTTGGCAAACATTCCAAAAGTCATGTTACTGGTTAAATAGCAAATCATGAAGTCTGGAGATTCTTTGGAAGAGCTGTGACTGATCCTTTCTTTTTCCCCTCATAATGTACCATCTTCAGAAAGTTCATGTTAGGATATCTTCAGTTCAATCAGTGGATGTCCAATATTTCACTTTCACTGCCAATTAATTGGGCTCCTGGAGTAGCCATTTACTTTTTTTTTCTCGCAGTCATACTGAGTTACTGACAACATCAAGCAATTCTAAATTCTAACATTTACAGGCTTACAGCCGACAAATATGCACTTATATGCAGGTTAATTGGCAATTTGGCATACAAAGTCCTATCAGTGGACTGTGGACATACCTTTCTGGTTATCCTAGTCTGGGATATGGTATGCATTTAGATTTTCCTTTTTAACTCTTTACCTGCGCAGCTGGAATGTGGGTGGTCTTGTGCAATACGCAGGTCAAACCAAGTTTGCGTACTCTGCTTTTTTCTCTCGGGCTGAATGCATGACTCACAAAGTCACAATCACTTTAGCAAAATGATTGCCCATCCCCCAAACCCATAATCTCCCATAGGATCGTTTATTTGGGTAAAATCTCAATTGAATAAATCAAAATTTTCAATGAAAAAGACTAAATAATCAAAACTAATTTTTTTGGTTATTTTTGTTAAAACCAAATTTCATCACTATAAATATTTTAATATATATTATAGATATTATATATTATATGTAATGAATTATATATTTTAATGTATAATATAATACAATATAATATATATTATACCAAGGTTCAAAATATTGATACGCCCGATACATTGATAGAGGTGTATTGGGCAGTATCGATAGCTTTATTTTTTGTCATTTTTTCTTCAAATCCAGTTCAGAGGGGCCGGTTTAAGGTCCAATACCAGTTTGGTATTTTGGATTTCAAATTGGATTCAAATTTAGTTAGTTGGGTATGACTATGATATGAAAAATATATGATATCTAAAAAACTTCTGATCAGTCAACTGGAATCATAAGCTGGTAGTCAATTAGGTGTTATTTATCAAAATTCATGGGTGGGTTTTGATTGGTCAAAACTCTTCTCATACCATATTTTTTCCACATCATAGATTTTCCCTAGTTTGATTCCTTTCTATTTAAGTAAAGAAAAAATTATAAATTAAATATCTTTAACATACAGAAATAAAAATATAATATAAACATAAAGTATTATATATTTAATATTTATATATGTGCATTATTATATTACATATAACTATATTCAGATTTTTATGAGTTTGAATTGGGTTAAATCCATGCCCAGGTATTTGGATCATATGTCGAACTAGGTATTAGATATTTGGAGTCCATTGACACTTTCACCAATAGAGTGGATTGGGGCTCCATATAGATCCCATGTTTCATTGTAACCTTTGTGTTTAATTTTTGTGAAAAAATACATTTGTGTGATAAATCTATCTCACTCCGGATCTAGTGTGTTTGGATTTGAAGGGATTTTCTCTTCGAATCCACTAAAATTTTGACACGTCGTTCGATGCTCTACTGGCCATTACCTATCACCTGTTGAAGCTAATACTGACAAAATTCTAAAATCCTCTGTTATCAGACTCAGACCATTGGTTGTTATACAATTTTAACGGCAACAGAAACGATGGTCTTCCGGTCTTCCCTACTCTCCTTCTCCTTCTCTACTTTGTCCATTTAATCAGCAAAACCTCACCACCTTTTTCAGTTCATTTATTACCCATTTTAGTCACAGAAAGATCAATCCTCATGTGCCGCAAATATCTCCGGCACCGGTCCCAGCTCCAGCCATGAATCTGATCCAAGAATTCTTTACTAGGTCTCCTGTGCCATCCTTCGATCAAATTTAGTCCTATTACTTAAATGACATTGGCATTAAAGTGAGTATTTATAAATACATTTACTTATGTAAAGACAGTATATATTAATATATATGATGAAAATAGTTGAAAAAATATTTATATTTTTTTTATTTTTCTTTAAAATTTTTATGTTTTTTCTTTTAATAATTTATTAAATTTTTCATAATTCAAATCAAATAAAATCATATTCAGATGTTCAACATCCTTAGCGGATTCGGATTTGAATAACCATTTATGAGATCTAGCCGGATCTCGTATATTTGCTATCGGATCGGATTCGGATATACCCCGATTCGAGTCCGATTTGCATCCCTAATGATGAAGGCATATGTTTGAGTTGCAATTCCTATCCTTATCTGGTGGATACTTGTCCCTACTCACCTTCACGATAAGTTTATTTTTTTTTTGAAAAGTGGATTTTAGGACCGAACAAGTTTTGGGATTTTGCAACCCATATGGGTACAGCATTAGGCTAAAACCTAATTCTCTTTGACTTGTATATTGTTGTTGGAAGGCATATGAAAATATGTGTTGTGTTAAATTTGATAATGTTTTGAATATTATGTGAAGGATAATTGATGATTTGTGTATTCTCTATATGTTTCAATCAAATAGTTTAAAAATTTAATGTTTACTCACATTATTTTAGGGGGGCATTCTACACCGTGAATTGTTTTCCTTGTTGGTGGTTCCAAAAACAAATCAGAATCTTCTTGTTTGAAAATAGATTGTTTCTTAAAACAAGAACACAAAAAACATGTTCTTGATTGTGCATGTGCTTTCTGTTTTCAAAATTGAAACAAAAACATGTTCTTGAATTTGGTTTAAAAAACATGTTTTCATCTTGTTGATGCTCGGGTTGGCCGAGGGCAACAAAGTAAATTTGCTCTTGAGCTTCGAAGGAAGGCTGAAGGCTTTGAGGGCCCGGAGGAGATGAGCCGAGGCCGAGGGCTAGAGGCCGAGGCGGATTGCTCCTTTGGATACGGTAGAGGCTGAGGGCTGGTATTGAGAAGGGCATCCGAAGAGGGGCGAGATACGGTCCCCGCGGTAATGAATCTGCAAGGGAGAAGGTCTCAGAGACCTTGGGTGGAAACCTAAGGCGAAGACTCCGACAATCAAGTTAATATGTGCACAAGGTAAGTAGTGAGTCTGGAGTCGAGGGGTCTAGACGAGGTCTCAAATAGCGCTAAGTCCTTAGAGGAGAAAGCACTAGAGATCACAAAGATTTTCGAATCGAATGCCTTACCTTGTGGGGGCGTGCCTTGTATTTATAGTCTGAGTTGTTAGGGGTTAATTGGGCTCAGATGGTCCAGATGCGAGTCGTACGAGGGCCTGTTGAGATGTTTTTCCAGGGCCACATGGTGCCCTGTGATTGGATCCGCTTGGTCCACATCGGGTAACCCCAAGCGTCCTCATGGCAAGCCTATGTTGGCACTATCTAGTCGACACGCGTCAGCCCTGTACAGGCCAGCTGAATGCGCCTACATCACATATGATTATTCAACACCATGTTCCATAAATCATATAATTTTTATACTAAAAAAATTGTTTTTTGTTTTAAAAAACCAATATTTTGTTGGTTCAAAAACATGTGTTGTTTTTTGAAACAAAACCAATTTATTTATCCCTTCAAAAACAAAAAAGAGTTCAAGAATATGTTTTTGTTTTTTTGCTGATGTGGCAATTCCAAAAACAAATGAAAACAAAAATGTTCATGTTGTAGAACACCCCCTTATTGTATTACTTATATACAATAGGAAATAATAGGAAATTAAATGCAGTTTTTGGACATGACCCACTCACCCTCAAACTTGAGGAAGGTAACGTTAGGGACAATTTTGCTTTTTCATATTTGGGGAGGGTTTACATTATGAAAATCCAACCTGTTGTGGGTTTGGGGTGAATATGAGTTGAGAGGTTTGGAGAGACAGATGTTTAGAATTTACAAAACCCTCCAAAAAACCCACATCATAGAATTTACAAAACCCTTCCAAAAACCCACATCGTCACTGTCTCTATTCCCATAAGGAGGGAAACACTGAAAAACCACTGGGGTGTGGGGAGATGCACATGCACCACAAAACCCTAAACCTTGAGCACATGTGCTCGTAGCCTCATATCTTAACATCAATTTCTATTGATCAATTGCAAACATTTTATCAATAAACAGTAATGGTACCAAAAACAACCATACTCAAGTTTAAACAATCAGATTGCCCTGAGTGGATTTCTTTTCTTGTTCCGTTCGTGTGATCCGGTAGATGGGGTAGCACTAGCACTAGCACTAGCACATGCCTTTGAGATCACATTTGCACCCCGACGAAGGGCGTCCCACAAATGCCCCACATGCACATCTTAACATGCAATGGGAACATCTTCTGAAGTTGTTAGTGTGAGATATTCCCAATACAAGGTTGGGATATGCTATGGGCGCATATGTGAATTCTTCTGATTGCCCTTAGTGGCTTGATGAGTTGATCTAGTTTTGCTTGTTTAGTCGTATTTGATTAATTTGTAGGGTTTGTTAGTCTGTATTATTTTCTTCCCTCTAGTTAGGTTGTTCTTTTGATTTTCTGTTTTATTTTTATTTCCTGAATGAAACTTTGTATCTCTCATCTTCCTCCACTAGGCCGTCAATGCAAGTGTTGCGGGCAGATGTGGAGTCGAGGGCAATAAACGTAATTTCTAGTGCACGAGACCGACGAGTCCAATCTATTGAGGGAAAGAAGATGTTAGAGGTCCTAAGAGTTATCATAGGGGTGGAAACTTTGATGATCAAGTTATACGAGAACTATGAGGGGTCAGACCAAGCAAAAGAGGAGACTTAAAGCTTAAGTTCCAGTATGTCTTTACCTCCATGTCGGAGCCCCTTTTTATAGTCGGAATTGCCTGAGAGGAGTAGTAATTGGAAGCAGGTGGCAGCGGTTGGTGATGGGTGGTTAGGATACATTCGACTGACACCACATGTCAGGATCCGTAGGATGGTTGGGATGCGTCCAACTGACACCACATGTCAGGATCTACAAGTCAGCCAAATACTCCTACACCACCAAGCTAATATTTTCTACCAAAAGTAACCCCTAAACCGTTTGATTTATGGGGGCCCAACCCTTTGATAGGGTTAATTAGCAAAATTGCCCTTGAACACCACCACTCATTCACAAGTCACCTCGGACAAGAGTTGTGTTCCCAAACACTGCCTACGTCATTTAGTCGAGCCGTTTGGAGTCTGGACCAGACGATCGAACCTATGAACCGAGAAGGGCTGATTTTTATAAAGATGGGGAAGGAATCAAAGGATAAAGAAAGAGGGTTACGAAAAAATCTCCCGCGACCAGAAACTCTTCTAGTGTACAGTTTAAGCTTCAAGCTTAACTGCTCAACATCCACCGGTGCCGGTGAACTTCTGAATTGTAAGTTTTAAATCTAAACAACCAGCCGCGAAACAGGTGAGGAAACTATTTCACTAATTTTGTTTTTGTTTACTCAATATCGCTGTACCATTTTCGTTTGTCTCCTATATAAAAATCCTGTAATGGATCCACAACTGTTGCTTTCCTCAAGAAAACCCTCGTCCCCGGCACCTTTATCGCTTTTTCCGTCGTGCCCATCTTCTTTTCGTGAAAGACCCAACTTCTCTATCAAAACTCATCTTTCCTTCTCAACCAAACATGCGGACAAAACCACATTTATGGGGACACGTTTGGTTTTAAATGACAAGAATCCTGGACTCTGTAATCAGAGAAGAGCATGTTTGCCATTTCACCCAATAACAGCTGCTGTCAAGAGAAGAAAAGAGCTTGCCTTTGACAACGTTATCCAACGTGACAAGAAGCTGAAACTGGTGTTAAAAATAAGAAAGATTTTGGTTAGTCAACCTGATAGAATAATGTCGCTTAGAGACTTGGGCAGGTACCGAAGGGAATTGGGCCTCGGTCGGAAACGTCGTTTTATTGCTTTATTGAAGCGGTTTCCTGCTGTTTTTGAGATAATGGAAGAAGGGGTTTATTCTCTCAAGTTCAAATTGACCCCTGAGGCCGAGCGGTTATATTTGGAGGAATTGAAAATGAGGAATGAAATAGAAGATTTGCTCGTTGTCAAGTTGAGGAAATTATTGATGATGTCCTTAGAGAAGCGGATTCTATTAGAGAAGATTGCTCATTTGAGGACTGACCTCGGGCTTCCTTTAGAATTCAGGGACACAATTTGTCATAGATATCCTCAATATTTTAAGGTCGTTCGTACTGAGCGGGGCCCTGCATTGGAGTTAACCCATTGGGATCCCGAGTTGGCTGTCTCTGCGGCTGAACTTAGTGAAGAAGAGAATCGTGCTAGAGAATTGGAAGAGAAGAATTTGATCATTGATAGGCCTCCCAAGTTCAATAGAGTAAAGCTACCCAAGGGTCTCAATCTTTCAAAAGGTGAGATGAGAAGGATATGCAAGTTTAGAGAAATTCCTTATATATCTCCATATGCTGATTTCTCAGAATTAAAGGCTGGTACACCAGAGAAAGAAAAGCATGCCTGTGGAGTTGTTCATGAGATCTTGAGTCTCACTGTTGAGAAGAGAACACTTGTGGATCACCTTACTCATTTCAGAGAAGAGTTTAGGTTTTCTCAGCAGCTGAGGGGAATGTTGATCAGGCACCCTGATATGTTCTATGTGTCCTTGAAGGGGGATAGAGATTCGGTTTTCCTACGGGAAGCCTATCATAACTCCCAATTGATTGACAAGGATCGGTTATTAATTATCAAGGAGAAACTTCGTGCACTTGTTGCAGTTCCCCGATTCACAAGGAGCGGTGCACCCAAGATGAATATGGATGGCAGTGAGGATGCTGACAGTGCTGATAACTCAGAAGTAGAAAGTGGTGAAGAGGAGGCTGGTGAATGGTCTGATGTTGACAACTTATTGAGCAATGAGTTTGGTGATGATGACTTTGATGATTACAATGATGATGAGGATGAATGGAGTGATGAAGATGATGACATGCCCCCAGATTTTGATGATGTTGATGGAAGCAGAAATATTAGAGAGACTGAACTAGTTAATCAAGTTGAGGTCTTGAGAAACTATGAAGAAAGGGTTCCTGTATTCCCTGATGGTCGGCCAAGAGAACGCTGGTGATAATAAAAATTATCATGGAGTTTGACCCTGGATGCATGGTAAGAGAAAATAACTTTATTGCTTTGTCAGATGTTCTTTTCATGTAGAAACATCCTTGAGAGGCAAGAGTAAGTTGTTGCAAAGATATCTGTTTTTCCACTGTCCTTCCATATAAGGTATAACCAGTTGCCAGAATTCCTATTTGTCACAATTAATGTCTGATATCAGTAAAAAGGAGGCTTTTTGTTGGTTGTAGTTCAAATTACCTTGTTCTAATGTGACCAATTTACCTTTCTTGGTGGTGTTGGGAACTATATAAATTTTGAAGTTTTTTTTTTTTTTTACCTCTCTGTTCTCTCCTGATTTAGATATTCCAACGAACCTGATTGAACAAAGATCTGTTCTGAGCCTTATCTGCTGAATCTAGAAGGGATGCATTTTAAGACTCTAATTTATGTTCATTTCTTTTAATCAGATATAGAGTTCTGTATGACTGTATCTGTCAGGTTGTGGCATAGCTGAAGTGGAAGAGATGTTTCTGACATCATGTTTGTTAAACTGATATGAAATGTCTGCAATGAAAAACAGAATGTGACAACCTTAAGTTAGGATGCATTAAGGAAGGTAATGTTGTTAGCTGCTAGGATGGAAGCCTCAGTCATCTAGATTCCTAGTTTAAATTAAAAAAAAAACCCTTTTATCTGACCTACTTAGTCACATCAGTCACATGTTTTCCATCCATCCAACAACCTCTACCTAGAAAAAGAAAAGTGAATAGAAATCTTCAAAAAGCAAAAAAAAAAAAAAAGAAAAAGAAAAAGAAAAAGAAAAGAAAAGACTAGTACAACAAAAAGGATTAAGTGAATGTAAAGATTCTAACCCTTTAATCTACCTCCTGACATGAAAAAAAAAGAAGTCACGATCCTATGCATCAATGCCCTCCACAAGGTCTTTGTATGGCTTGTGGAGGGCATTGATGTAGACACCTGTAAGATCCACCATAAGCTCAAACAAAAGGTTCATGGAAGTGTCCTGAAATATGTAAAAAACATTGCACGCCTGCCATCTCTCCATTCTAAACAAGTCTACATCTTCGGTTCCATCTTTTATTTTCTTCTCCCTTTAGGGGCTCCTTTAGTTTCCAACCTGAAAGGCTGAAACCCAAAAACCCTAAAAAATGACATGTCTGCAACACTCTCCATTTCATTCTGTCTCTGAAACTGATCCATTGAATCGTAATACATCCTCTGAATTCAGTTCTCTGCCTCTCCCCATGTTTGGTCACAATTTTTTCTCCAATAATTTGAACTTGCTAGAAGATTTCCTCATAGATGAAGGATTTGAAGGTGATTTTGATTTCTCTCTACATGATCTCATTCTTGCTGCTAAAAATGAGCATCTACCTTTGGGAGATGGTTCTATGACCTTGTCCTCAATGTTGATTTGGCTGTTGTTCATTTGTTCTCTCAGAAGTCTAAAGCTGATGGATTGGGTTTGTCCTGGCAGGTTTCTGTTGGGACCCAAATACCTTCCCCTAACCCAACACAGGGAGTGGAGCAGGCCACTACCCATCAGCAGTACTCAAGGAAGCAGAAAGGACAGGCGACAGAGCCTCAGGGATAGGCAACAGAGCCTCAGAATTAGTTACACACAGAGAGGGTGATTCTGTCGACAGAAGATATTCCCTCCATGATATTTCCCAGA